GAAAACACAAAATTGTTTGGGTGACCCCAAACTTTTGAACGGTAGTGTACATGTATGTTACTTTATATGTTAATGTATAAATATCTATTGTCTAAATGTTGGAACCTGTATCAAAAAGCTGTACTGGAAACAAATTCCACCAGCCTGGCTGTGTGGTCATTAAATTAAATCAATCAATCAATCATCTGTAGGAGACAACAACTTCTGCTTCTGCTGGACCACTGGACTCTACTCAGTCTAAATTTTTCTGTACAAGTGTATATAGTTTACTATCGAATACTTTACCACTGTATTTGTTTTACATTTATATTTAAATAAATAGACTACATTTGAAAGTACTGTTGTACCTACTGTTTGCAGGAGCTATTGTTAACCCTATGTATAAGGTTACGGTTCTCAAAAGTACAGTCAATGTCCATTTTCGTTGAGCTTTTGCATGAAAAACTGTTTGTAAAGCTCATGAGTAGGGTTTACATGAAGGCTCAATACTGGAGATCTATCTTGGGGTGCCGTTCCCAACCAACCCAAGACATTACTGGGGGACCTCTTAGACAACATGAGGGGCAATGTTGACTTCATCAGACTAGCCCCATTGCAGCGAATAAATGAATAGCCATTTGCTGGACCACCAGGGGTCCTTAAGAGTAATAAATAGTGAATTTAATATATGTACTATTTAAAATTAAAAGAATAAATAGTTTTATAACGTATGACTGAATAAATATACATGTACCTATTGCTTTGTCCTGTCAGTATGTATATATCTTGCACAAAGTTTCATCTATTTGCCCATATGGACTTGGTTTATTAACACTGTTTGTACTGATTGCATTTTACCTGGGAAGAAGAAATAGAAATAAAAAGTAATCTTTTTAATCATTTCACGTCAAAAGATGTTATAACTTAATTGAAATGCAGTACTCCTGACTGGGCTTTATAGAATACAGAACTTCTCTGTTTTTCATATACTTTTCAGGGTTTTTCCTGGCTCAGAATGGGCCTTTGGGGGGTGAATTTGCACGACAGTAAGCATGGCTGGTACGCGTACAGTAAAAGCAATGAGTCACCTTATGACTGAAATATATGTATTTTCTTGTAATTTCTGACCATTTGATAAACAAAATATATTCACAACCTAGGGGAGTAAAGGTATAAAAGTAAAGTATAATGATAGTATAATAATATATTCACAGGTTACACTTGATTTGGATAATTTGCTTACAAATAGTTTATTAGTTAAGATTCAGCTGTTTCACAAATGAAACCTTTCTCTGATATTAGCCCACACCACTGTGGTTAAGGTTTGATCAGTGCTAATGTTTGTGTATTCATTATAATTTCAGATCATAGTAGGCTATAGGCTTAGCTTACTATTAGTAGCCTTATATTAATTCCAGTTGGACAAAACAGTAGTTTCAATTTTGAGGGTTGTTTTCAGTCATTCAATAATTGTGCAAGACAAATGCTGTACTTGGTGGTCAGTCTCTAATTTGTTTATGCAAGTAGCCTACTAACTCGTGAATAATAAAAACCATGCATGAAGAACAACGAGTTCAGCATTTCTAGAGTGCCTCAACCTTTTTCTAATGTCCCGCCTACTCCAGGCTGTCATTGGTTGGTTCGCGAAAAGCGACTTTGACGAGTTTGATGCACACGGCTGCATGAAAGGCTCCCGATCTGTGCAGATTAGCAGGCAGGCGAGAACGGGAACAGGTGAGCGTCACGTAGTGCCCAGGGAGCCTGATCTGGAGAGGGCATAGAGTAAAGAGTAAAATGGCTTTTATATTGTGAGAAATAACAGGAAGTCCTCTCTCCCAGTAACGCGAGCTCAGTTTCGTAGAAGAGCGTTCATGCGAAGTCAAACCAACACAGCGGCTGGTTGATTAATCCAGCGCCTGCAGCATGTGTAAAAAAAAAAACCCCGCTGTGGATGAGAGGAGAGGTGACTGCTGGAAGTCAAGACGTCGTGTTTAAGTTCATGTTCTGCTTGCTCAACAGTTGTTTGATAAATGTCTATTAAAACACATTCGGAGATATTTGAAACGCCCCCAATTCTGATCATTTTGGCGCTGGGGATTTTCCTTTGGTGCTCGCTAAAGCCTCTTTCAAAAATCTCTATGCAGGAAAAACCCTGCTTTTACAAAGCTTTCTTTCACAGCTCTGACAGGAAGGTGTAAGATATTACTACAAACACAATTTTCAGGCTCATGTTTATTTAAATATAAAACATACAGTGGTAAAGTATTCGATCGTAAACTACACTGCTCAAAAAAATAAAGGGAATACTAAAATAACATCCTAGATCTGAATGAATGAAAATCTCATTAAATACTCCTTTCTTTACATAGTTGAATGTGCTGACAACAAAATCACACAAAAATGATCAATGGAAATCAAATTTATCAACCCATGGAGGTCTGGATTTGGAGTCACACTCAAAATCAAAGTGGAAAACCACACTACAGGCCGATCCAACTTTGATGTAATGTCCTTAAAACAAGTCAAAATGAGGCTCAGTAGTGTGTGTGGCCTCCACGTGCCTGTATGACCTCCTACAACGCCTGGGTATGCTCCTGATGAGGTGGCGGATGGTCCCCTGAGGGATCTCCTCCCAGACCTGGACTAAAGCATCCGCCAACTCCTGGACAGTCTGTGGTGCAACGTGGCGTTGGTGGATGGAGTGAGACATGATGTCCCAGATGTCCTCATTCAGGTCTGGGGAACGAGCGGGCCAGTCCATAGCATCAATGCCTTCCTCTTGCAGGAACTGCTGACACACTCCAGCCACATGAGGTCTAGCATTGTCTTGCATTAGGAGAAACCCAGGGCCAACCGCACCAGCATATGGTCTAACAAGGGGTCTGAGGATCTCATCTCGGTACCTAATGGCAGTCAGGCTACCTCTGGCGAGCACATGGAGGGCTGTGCGGCCCCCAAAAGAAATGCCACCCCACACCATTACTGACCCACCGCCAAACCGGTTATGCTGGAGGATGTTGCAGGCAGCAGAACGTTCTCCACGGCGTCTCCAGACTCTGTCACGTCTGTCACATGTGCTCAGTGTGAACCTGCTTTCATCTGTGAAGAGCACAGGGCACCAGTGGCGAATTTGCCAATCTTGGTGTTCTCTGGCAAATGCCAAACGTCCTGCACGGTGTTGGACTGTAAGCACAACCCCCACCTGTGGACGTCGGGCCCTCATACCACCCTCATGGAGTCCGTTTTCTGACTGTTTGAGCAGACACATGCACATTTGTGGCCTGCTGCAGGTCATTTTGCAGGGCTCTGGCAGTGCTCCTCCTGCTCCTCCTTGCACAAAGGCGGAGGTAGCGGTCCTGCTGCTGGGTTGTTGCCCTCCTACAGCCTCCTCCACGTCTCCTGATGTACTGGCCTGTCTCCTGGTAGCACCTCCATGCTCTGTACACTACGCTGACAGACACAGCAAACTTTCTTGCCACAGCTCGCATTGATGTGCCATCCTGGATGAGCTGCCCTACCTGAGCCACTTGTGTGGGTTGTAGACTCCGTCTCGTGCTACCACTAGAGTGAAAGCACCACCAGTATTCAAAAGTGACCAAAACATCAGCCAGGAAGCATAGGAACTGAGAAGTGGTCTGTGGTCACCACCTGCAGAACCACTCCTTTATTGGGGGTGTCTTGCTAATTGCCTATAATTTCCACCTGTTGTCTATTCCATTTGCACAACAGCATGTGAAATTGATTGTCAATCAGTGTTGCTTCCTAAGTGGACAGTTTGATTTCACAGGAGTGTGATTGACTTGGAGTTACATTGTGTTGTTTAAGTGTTCCCTTTTTCTTTTTTTGAGCAGTGTATATACAAAAGTCAAAAACTGTTTTGTGTGTACAAATAGATCCACAAATGCGTAAATAATAGCGTAAATAGTACAGAGTAAATTGTACATATTTGCAAATTGCACTGTATTTTTGTGGATATGATTTTACACATCACAAATGTAAAAATACATATTTATAGATAGTGAAATATTTGCGCATCATAGTACACATTTGTGGATTGTTTTCTGTGGGTTACAAATAGGGCTGACCCCGAATAGTTGAAGATTCGATGCTTAGATGGGACTCACGGGACTTTCGGATTATTTATCAACGTTGATGAACCACACAAAGAATATTTTGTTGTTTTTAAATAGCCGGCTACTTGGGTGGTGATGGCGCAATGGATTAGACACATGCGTGTGGTGGTTGGTGTGAGAGACTCTGGTTCAATCCCCCACTGTGACCCATCCACCATTGTGGCCCTGAGCAAGACACTTAACCCCTCATTGCTCCAGAGGCGTGCAACCTCTGACATATATAGCAATTGTAAGTCACTTTGGATAAATGTATATGTCAATGTAAATGTACTTAAAATAGACCCGCAAGGAACCGTGACCTGCATGTAGTTGTCGGCACGGCATGCACGCAAAAGTCACACAAGACCGGTGAATGACAGGAGAAAAAAAGGGTCTTTAAAAAGCCTCAGTTTAGCTGGAAATTTACACTGTAAATTGAATGAACAGAGGCGCTTCTCAAGATTAAAGCGGAGCTACCGTGCAGTTTTGACAAGAAAGAAGGTTGAATGGAACAAAACGTAATTATGGGTGTGCTGCATGGATTTTGATCCTTTTTTAAAGTGTCCACTGTAAGCGTCACGCTAAATCAGTGAAGCACTCTTTTTAGAGTTGTGCTATCTTTAAACCGACTTTCTCTTCCACGCTTGTTGCCATTTTTCCGTTGCCATTTTTCATGAATGTAACCATAAATCTAGCTATCATTGTTGGAAGATAATTCTTATACACAATTACTAAGCTCTGATTGGTCAATTGTGACTAACTGAGGGAAACAGCTGTCAGTGGACTCCACAGCAGAACAAATCAGAGGTCTGAAACCACCACGCTTTCAAACGTTCAAAGTAATATTTTAGATGTTAAAAAACAGAAAATGGAGCCTAACTAAAGATGGATAGATGCTTGGACTCTGTGTCATTTGGAGTGGTAAAGTAAGAAGAAAGAAACAGACACAGAGTGAGAAGGCTTTGGATTAGTTTGGATCACCTTGCCTCCCTCGTCAAACGATCCGACTTTCAGGAACCAGTTCCTTGAGCAGAACCATGTTGGCATGATGACTGTGGGTCCGTGAGACGTGTACACCTGGGACACGAGAACAATTCAGACTATAACACGAATAATCTGGACATACTGCAATCCAAAAATCACACAATGTCAGTTTACATAATAAAAACCGGCAAGCAACACGTAAATGTTGTTAAAACTAAAAGATCAGTGGTGAACTTGTTGAGATGCTACATGGAGATTCCTACTCTTATTTTATGTGTCTGTCTTTCTATTTGAAACATAGTGTGTGCGTTGGGTGATGGAAGAACCAACGAGATATGAGATCACACCTGAACCAAAACATACAAATGAAAGGAAAAGCCAAAATAAAGTGTTAGTCAAGTGTTTGGCTACCATATGCCTCCACAATAGCTTTCATGCTCTTAGTCTTCAACACATTTAAAAAATAAGGCTGTAGGAGTGAGAAACCATAGCATGACCAGAATACCTGAAAGGATAGTATTAGATGCTGTGAGTATAAAAAAAGTTTCAGTATATTCATATAAATATCTCTTCATGTTAAAAGTAAACATACAGACCAGTCTGCACTCAGGCTTTCACATTCAAACTGTGCAAGAACTACCAGAATGTGTAATTACATTCATCCCCTGCAGTTTATATCAGGCTCTCCTTCTCTTTTCACACACATGTGCAGGAAGCAGCATTTATATTTCAGCTGGACTTTAAAAATAAAAGAACTTGTCGTGGTGAGAGAACATGACATGCATATCAGCTATAAAACCTGACCAGGGTTTGGCAGACGGCTCAGGGGAATTTTGTAATTGGCTTTCAGGAACAAAACAGTCAAATGAAGAAAGCCTCTGCAAGACTCACTTCTAATCCTGCAAACAAAGGAGGTTAGAGTGCTGCCACATGTGCCCTGCAGGTGCCCTGTTACAGAAGTGTGGCTTCCTGAAGTGAGCAGGGGAAAGATACACTCTTCCATCCCCTCACATGTAATTTTTGACTAAAGAGTTTGTTGTGGCCTCTGCTTCTCTTTCTTACCTCTTTAAGACACCCTGACCACATAACGGCCTCTATATTTCTTTCTCTTTTTACACCCAACTAATTTGTTCCATTGCTGCCCACCCCCCTCTCCACACCCCTACCCCCTCTTGTTGCTCCATTCCTGTGTGTGAGTAATTTGTACAGCAGTGTTCAGAATCTGAGGGTCATTCCAGGTTGATCTGTTTCTATGTCCAACTACGTTACTGTGTTTCACATGCTGTGCATATGTGTGTGTGACTGTTGTTGGCTGAAGAGGAATACTACTGCATAACCAAAATGCATCGCAGATGAAGAAAGTGGTGAAGAACATCTGGTTTCAGCCAGTGAAACAGCTGGACAGAATCTAGTGTGTATGTGTGTGTGTGTCCACCTACGTACATCTCCTCTCCCTTCTGTTGTAATATTGCAACACTTTGCAGATGTAAGCTGTGGCCAAAAGCATGAATAAGAGGACTAAGAATGGGTTCTGGGAAACCAGGGGACACAGAGAGGTAGAGCGTCTGTGTGTGAGAAGTCAGTGGGGTAGGGAAGGTTTGGGAAAACCATATCTAATGCCCTGCAGATGGACACTCAGGGTGTCCACCTCTGGATCAAGTTAAACGAGCACCACCCTGCGTAAATCTCTGGTTTAACTCAGTTAGATTCTGTTTCTTTACCTAGAAAGTGAAAGTAAAGTCAGATAAGGGGAAGAAAGGAGAACGGGGAAGGAAAAGGAGCTGATTTTAAGCCTGCAGAATCAATGTATGATCTCATTCTCATGCTCCATGAAACTTAATATCACATAAATATCCTGGAATGTCTGCTAAGGAGTTTTGCAGACTGTGTGTGTGTGTGTTAGAGGTCCAGGTTGTCTCGTGTCCTTGGTGACAGAGTGTTTTGTTCAGGCAACAAAAGTTGACTTCCATTAATGTGACTATTTAATATGGTGAAAGTAAAATGTAATATTTTCACTCAATAACACCTTCAAGTAGTTTATATCTGGGTGTAAAATGTGCAAACATCATCAACGTCAGTATTGCCACACTGCAGTATAATTATCGCATATCATTGCAGCACCAAGTTGTGCCAATGTAGGGACAATGTTTTCAACTTGCTCACATTACCATTATGTTTGTTATTTAAGGTGGTCTAATTAGGCGATAATGGAGTCATACATTTCTACCGTGACTTGGCTGAGAGGCATGGCAGATGACACTTGGATCCTGACCATTCACAACTTGCCATCTTCGTTCATTTTACAATCTGAATCCACAGCAAGAAGCTCCAGCTCCACCTGCTCTGGAGGAACAGCAGCCATGTCTCTGTTGTGGGCCACAATGAAGTCAAAACTTATGAAATCAAATCTGATGGAGCACAGAAGCTGACGTCGAGCTTTTAAATTCTGGTGATGGATTTAATTACAGTCACTTCACTCTTTAATGTTAATTAGGGCTGTGCGATATGGCCAAAAATGATGAATAAAAGCATTTCATATCATTCGATATCGATAATTATACGATATATGTCAAATCATTTTTTCATCATCATTTCTTTCAAGTTTAAAGCATATTTTTGCTCCAGATGGTTAATTGACACTTGAAGCCAAACAGTGGATCACTTCACAAGTCTGAGGTAGAACATTCAAAACTATCATCTTTTTCAACAAATATGATTAGTTAATATTTTTTCAGGCCTCTTTTTTCAACAAAATAAATACTTTAATTAAAGAAAAATGAAATGCTAATTTGTTTGTGATTCAAATGAATTAAAGCAAATATTTATTGATGATATCTTGAACATTTATTATATTGTTATTGAGGAAAATTATATTGCGATAATTATCATTATTGTTTTATTGCCCAGCCCTAATGTTAATATGCGGCATCAGGCAGCAGTTCAGTACAATGAGCACTTTATCGGCCTGTAAGCTCACAGAACTTCTGTAAACTGATCTTTCCCGGCTCCCCTTAGCTGGCACGTGTGACACGTTTCCTCTGGTGGGACTGAGATGGACAGAGAGGTCGGGAGTGATGCTGCGTCCTCTGTCCACTCCACTGCCACATTTCCGTGGAAACTGCGGACAGCAGGTACATATCCTGTTTCTGTCTGACCTGGTCGCTGCCTGGCACATGACCTCTCACATACACACAAACACACACATTCACAGAAAGTGTGTGTGCAGCTTACAGACACGCTGTGCAGAGCTGCTAGTATTTACCTGTGTGATGAGCTGATCCGGAGTGATTGTGTTGATCCAGCGAGTGTAACGCTCAGTAGATCCTTCTGGAACCCTCTGAACTTTACAGCCAATCAGCTATCATGAAAACACACAGACACACACACCATATAGGTGTTTAAACAACAACAAACAACAAGACAAGACAGGGCAAGCGAAAATATAGGGATAAGGTTGAGGGACAGATGTCTAATAGAAATCCTCAGGGCCTCTGGGATGGTGTGACATAAATTACTGGCTATGTAACCAGTAATGGAAGCCCCCTCGGCTGTGGGATTAATGAGGGAAGCCAGTTCTTTGCTAGGTTTGAAGACCTTGATTTTTCTGCTGCTCATGACAGCATTCTTTCATCTATCACTATTAATGTTGACGAGGTTCGACAGCAGCAGAATGTCCCTATTGTCATTAAAAAATCCAGTGATGTGGAAAACATCTTGCCTTGTACCAATTTTGTGTCCTTACTAACCTTTGGCCCATTAGATTACATCTTGAAACATCCCCATTGATAAAAAAGTATCTGGGTCTATTTTAAGTAAAATAGGAGCACCACGGGGCACAGGTTAATCATTTATTAATTCACTCTCTACACCGCTGACTACAGGCATGGTCAGGTATCTCGCCATATCCAGAAATTTTCCCCATGACATCGCTCTTGTTCATTTCCTTAATCGAGGTGATGACTAGGCCGATAAAACAGATGTTGCCTCCTTTGTGAACTGGTGTGAGTCAAACTTCTTAAAACTAAATGTTGGGTTTGGGTGGGCTGATTATCAGCTTTAGGAGAAAGAAGGAGGAGGTTCTTCCTGTGATCATTAAGATCAGCAAATTGAAATTGTCCAGTTCTATTAATATCTTGGTGTCTGACTTGACAGAGACAGTTTTCAAGAAGGCCCAGTTAAGACTATTTTTCCTGAGAAAATCACAAGACTTTGGTGAAAGTAGAAACCTGCTTTATACTTTTTAATCAAGGTGTAAAAGCCAGTGTCCTTTTTCATGCAGTGCTTTTCTAGGGAGGCAGCATTACAGCAAATGATAAAAACAGGATCAATAAGTTGACTAAAAAAGCTGACTCCGTGGCCGGCCTTGCCCCTGACCCACTGGAGGTTATCATAGAAAAGAGAACAAATCTCAAACTAAAGAATGTCATGAATCTTGTAGTCCATCCACTCCAGTGTCTTTTCCTTTAGTAGCTGACTGAAGACGCCCCAGTGTTCTACCAAACTGCTCTTTTTTGGTCTTTTATCCCAACAGCAATTAGATTTAATGAATATTTCTTATTTTATTTGTAAGGTTTTCTTGTTCTGTGTCCACATACTGGTTGTCTTTTTTTTTTATTTTTTATGTTGTATGCTGTTTGATGTGATATGGTGGCAAATGAGTTTCCCCTTTGGGGATTAATAAAGCTTTATAAACTAATCTAAAAAATACTTTAAAAAGTTTTTTTGGGAGAAATGCTGCCATACAAGTAACTAGTATGTTTTGTGTTCTTGGGTTAGTGTTAGGCTGCAAACATCAATTCTGGTTTCAGTGGTAAACCTTCAGATAATGCAGTTTAAAACTTACTTTTTTATTGTTATAAAGAGTTCTTTGAACAAAAGTAAAGCTGATTGCTGTGTTTTGTGGTGGATATGTGGTATTCCAAATACGTGTTGCCAACACATGTAGAGGGCCTACTGGTGGAAAAACTATGCAGCGACAACACTCTCTCTTCTGTCTCTCTGTTTCTTTTATAATTGTCATTTATTGGCTGTTATAAACATCGATATCAATGCTCATAAAGGCCGATAGTATCAGCACGCCCATTATAGGTTGGGCTTATATTTTTAAGAAATCTTTTCCTCTTTTGCTCAGGTAACTTATGGTGGGAATACTTCTGACCTTTAAAAGCCAAAAAAGCATTGACTTATCAAAAAAATAAAAGTTTGTTAAAAGTCCTAGTAATGTATAGAAATTTTCTATATGACAAAATACTGGCCCAAAGTGTATCTGAAACATATCAGTTGTACCCTTTTTAAACATGTACAGGCCACATCTCAGAAGAAAGAAGGTAAAAAAGTTATACAGAACTGAAAACAAAACAAAGGACCACATCTTATCTAGAACCATAAAATATATAACAGAAATAGGCAGGTTGTTTGTTCAGGGCAGCAAGCCTGCTGTCTCCATGCTGTCTCTCTAACTTCCCTCACAGACACAACCTTTAACCTCTGACCTGGCAGGCCACAGAAAGCATCAACACCGGATACGCACACTGTTCTGCATGCCAAGCTGCATGGAAACACACACACACACACACACACACACACACACACACACACACACACACACACACAGTATTTTTGATTTAAAGGGAGGGATTGGTCAGATGATCAGGGAGAGAGAAAGAAAGGGAAGGGGAGGGAGAGAAGGGAGGAGAAAAGAAGGTGAGGAGGGGCGAAGGCAGAGTGCAGCAGAGAGGGAAGGAAGTGAGTAAGCAAATACTTGAGGGAGAACTTACAGAGTTTGGGTGGAGGACAGACGACTCATACTGCAATCGAACTCTTTGAGGCAACATAACGTCATCCTGGGGTACAAAAATAAATCAATTCAAACACATTCGACACTTTAGTTTTTCACATCATGTAACAACAAATACACACTAGCTTCCTTTAAGAAACAATTCAAATCATATCCGTTCACTTTAGGTTTTATTATTATTTTTTTTATTGCATGTGCACTGTCTGTCTGAATACCTTCTCTTGTTTTTAATTGGTTTTATTTGCAATGAAATGCAAATGAATTATTTAAAAATTATACAATATGATTTTCTAGATTTTTGTTTTAGATTCCGTCTCTCAGTCGAAGAGACGATAAAAATTTATAAAATTACAGACCTTTACATGCTTTGTAAGTAGGAAAACCTGCAAAATCAGCAGTGTATCAAATACTTGTTCTCCCCACTCTATGTCCCTATCTATCTATAGACAGCTAGCTAGATAAAAAGCGTACTTCCTTAATCCAAAAGGGGTACCTGCAGTGTTACAAAACAATACACATAAAGCACAAAAACAAATGAGGTAGGTGAGAAAACAAGTACAATAACATGTAAAATATAAAAGATATATATAAAATATATAAAAAATATGAAAAGGATTTGATATGAAAATATAGACACAGAGACATGAAAGAATGCTGATGTACACAGAAGAGCAATGTGTGAATAATGTCGAGCAGTAGAACAGAGAAACAAAATGCAAGAGAACAAATATTGTTGTATTGCCTTTGAGCCATTTATTCTAGCAACTATTAGTAGACTTTGTTATAACGTACAACTCAAGCAGTTCAAAAACAAATCTGAACAGACATCACAAGCACAGATGTTGTAGCCTTTACTTGTAATTTTGACAATTCGGCCCTCAGACAAGGATCTATCCTACAAAGCACTGTTTCAAACACACAGCTGCCACTCATCTGAACATACACACAGAAAACACTCCTATCAAGTGCTGCTCTCAGCTCATTACTCGTGCTCAGACAGGTCTGTCAAACAGTCGCTGGGCTGCTGAGGTCTACGTGTCAATGTGTCTGTGTACAGCATGTATATTGGACAAACCGATGAGATGTGATTAGTAATGACTCACAACTGCACAATGAGATGAAACACGCTCTGTCACACACATACTCACCGCATCCTGAAAGCACAGGTATTGTCCACAACTCTGAGATGTTGCCTTATTCTTTGCATATCCCACTGAAAGACAAAAGAACATTGTGTGTGTGTGTGTGTGTGTGTGTGTGTGCGCCCTTGCATCATATTCAACCATTAAACCTGCAATAACACTGAAAATAACTAAAAATTTCTGTGTAATGTTATTTTCAAAATGTTAAACCAAATGACACAACAGTAACGGGCACGCCAGTCCATCACAGTCATCATCATGCTGCTTTGTCTTATTATTCTTCCCTGGTTAATCAGAAGGACATTTTTACAATCTTGCTGATCCAGTGACTAATACTATTAACTCTCTGGTGTCCAACTGATGGTTGTCCACAACTGTGGGTGTGTGTGTGGCCTGGGGGGGGTCTTAATTTACAGAGTACCAAAACAAGCATTACTCACTTTCCTCAGCCGCTTGCTAAATTATGAGCATTTCTTAAAATATAATCTTAACTCAAGGTTCACTTATTAGCAGTGTGAGTCCTAGGAGTTGAGTGAAGAACTTGAGATATGGTTAAAACCTCCAGGAAAAAACTAGTAAGTGGACACAGTTATTTTGTGTAGAATGAGCTTTCATCTCAAATTATAGGCAGCATTTTACAGATTTTACATGTTATCCCTAAAATTGATAATTGATTGAATTTCTTTTTGGTTGTCTATTCTTTCATTCAGTCTCTCTGGCGTCACATATAAAATAAGCTGTTGAAGTCATAGTTTAATTACGATAATCTAATCAGGACAGGAAATGAATTGCTGATCAGCAACCTAAAAGTCTACTGACCTCCTCTGGGATGGGCAGAGACGTGACCGGAGATCACTAATGAGACGCCCCTGCCCTCCAGCCTCTCCCTCCAACCCTCCACCACTTTCCTAGAGTCATCCTAAAGGACACACACACAATTCGAAGTTTAGACAAATTGCATATTTACGCATGTGAATATGTAATTCGCAAAGAAACTTCCAGTGCTTGCGTCGTCAAAGACGGAGAGCTCCATGGTTCCTGTGAAGTCTTGGTGTAATATGGCCTGCAGACATTCATCCAGCCAACAGGATGCATTGTACACTGGCATGACAATACTCTGAAGACACACACAGATTATAAAGTCAGTGCAATTAAATAATGCATGAAAAGGCAGCTATGACTCCCATATCAATAATACAAATAATCAGTTCAGGGAGCTAATCTGACAGAGCAAAACAGTTGCAGTGACACACATTATGGTGCACGGAAACATTCATCAAGTTAATTTAATTGATTAGTTCAAGAACAGTATGCCAGTGTTGTAGACCTAACGTGCAGCAGCCTGATTCAACTGTCCTCATGCATAAACATCTCTGTATATTCTCCTTTACACCAGTGGAATCTGTGTTTAGCAGAGTGTCTATCACCCACCACGTCCACAACACTCCTCCTCCCCTCCTCCCGCTCTCCTGTCACCGTTTCCGCTTCGTCTTCTGCGGTACAGTCTATCGTGGTGCGGAGCCGCTTCGGGGGGTTCATGTCAGCCTCTGGGCCCCCGTCCCTCTGCTCGGAGGGTCCGCTGCTTATGTGGGAAAGGGAACAGCCGTTACCCGTAAGAAATGGTTGAAAACAATAAAGACTGACTTTTAGAAAGACGGTGTCGGTAAGGAGGGGTGACCCGCGCGGGCCACACGTGAATACTGTCGTGAATAATGTCGGTTAGCACTCATTTTGTAACTGTTCCTTGTATGAAATGGGTCCACGTCGCTATGGGTCCAATGCGCTCTGTCAATTTTAGTGACGGTCAAAGTAACATTTCTAACTAAACGTGTGGCCCAAGCTTGCAGCGTGGATAACAGCTTCACTACTTCCGGAAACAATGTATTCCAGACGCTCATTGGCTCGTGCAAAACTCGGACAGGCGCCGGATTCGCTGTAACTCAACGTCAATCATCTGGAACAGTGACGTCACCAACACTTTCTAGCTTCGTTTATTTCTAAAGGTGCAGAGGAAAAGGCTGTTCTGGCAAATTCTTAGTTTTCTCTCCCAAAACATATCTTTAAATAATAAGAACTGACCATTTCAAAACAAATGCTCAAGAACAATGTGGATTCTCATTTTAAAACGGAACAAAACAATTTAATGTTCAAATACCTATATTTTTATGTTGTCAGGAATTTCATGAAAATATCCATGGCACCTTTTGTGGCCATCGTGTGTCCTATCATTTATATTTTGGTCAGTATTCATTATTTTGACAAATAATTCTGCACAAGGTCCACTTACTGGAAAGTTTCCAGAGCTTTCAGCCACATCTTGAGGCCTAAATCAGCAGGTGGAGTTTGCCCTGTTCCCATGGAGGTTGTTCATAGGTCAATTATTTACAAGATCAGTAATGAACGTTCAAGCTGTTCATTATTATTGGTTGATTGAATTCAATTGAAAACAAAGATCTACCTTTTTACAGCACAAGTAACAGCATGAAATGTATTGAAGGAACAGCTGGTTAAACATGCAGCATGTAAAACACAGTTCACAATACCTTAAAATGTAGTTTCAGTAATGCGTTATCCCACCAGGACAACACCACCTTGTATTTGGCTTATTCAGAGGGATAGTGTGATGAGAGTAAATTTTTTCTGCTAATGTCACTGATAGTTAGCTAATGTCACTAAATTTTGTAAAATTTAATTTTCAAGCAAGAGCAGAACTTTTGCACACCTGTAAATCGACAAGTGCGTAGGAGAAGACCTTGAGTCACAAACAAACATTGTTGTTATATATCCCCGACTGCAAGCTGTGTGGGAGTCTTTTGTTCTTTATTTAATTTTCAAGTACATTTCAGATCATTTGGGTTTTTTAAAACAAAAGATTCAAAACTGAATAAACTATTTTCTTTTTCTGTCTGTCTATGTTTTATCTCATCATTTTTGGTGACATGTAACAGCGCAGCACTCTCTGGCTTTCCTGTTGAAAAGGGACCCAGATCAGTACGCTTTCTGTGTTAATGTTGGCAGCCGCAGTATGGGAGGTTTGTCTTGGTGAGCAGACAGAAAAACAGGATGGGCTGAAATTTTGTTTTTGACTGTCGTTTTCTTTCCGAAAGGAAAGTAAATGAACAAAGACAGAGAGAGATTATGTGTGTGGTTCCAGCCAGTGGTTCACTGCAGTTTGTTGAATGGTATCACCTGTACTACTGTGCCAGCTCAGTGTGTGAGACGTTCCCAGTGATTAAGATGTTTTTAAATTTACAACGACCATAGTTACTGTAACAACATTAATAAACACCCCAGCACTCGGCTAAAACAGGGATGATCCAACAGCTGAAGTCATGATCTGAGTCAGGAATCAAAAAACATCAGTCCTGGATTTTGAAATATCCAAACTCTGTTACCCATTACATTTACAGTACTTCCAGCATAGAGCTGGCCAAACCCTCCTGTTATTGTCATATTAATCCTCATCTGTTCTTTTTTGTCTGTGTCCTTGTAAAATGATTCATGAGCACTAAAAAAAGTGGAACATAAGCCGCTTAACTTCTGTGTTACTCACTTTAGAAACACATACACTCTCTCTCTCCTCTGCCTAAAGTCCCGAGATATTTTTAATGAAGTCCTGAATTTTATTACGCAGACACACAATCCTCCTTAATCAGGGCACCACTCAGACAGGATGTAGGTTGGAGATTGCGCTGCAGAATAATTGCTCCCATGTTGCAGCAGCATCTTGATCAGACTAATTTATCGCTTTGACTACGTCTTAAAACTGGACGAAGGTCTCACTGTAGGCCAGGAACAACAGCTCCAGGGGGGCGACAGACCAGGGCCAAGGTCAGGAATTATGCTCTCATGCTTGAGTGCACGGTAAATGGGATCAAGAGAAGATTTGGCCTGACTGTACAGATACACCTGCTAACCACGAATTATTACATGTTTGTGTTACAGTCTGCACTGGGCCTGTGAAGCAAATCAGATATTAATTTCTGATTAATAGAGATTGATAGTACCAAACAGCCATGCATTATTAGGTATAAGACAATTATATTATTAAGATGTTTAAATTTTAGAGGTTCAGGTTGCGGTTATGAGTCCCTCTGAGTCCGTTCTGGCTGTGGTTGTGAAGTTTGGCCAGTTCCTTGCACTGCAGGTCCACAGGGTCTCTGATGCAATAAAAAACATTGTTGAACACAAATGTTCTCACAATCATTCACTGTAAACTGCCTGTTTTCTTCCCTTCCTCCACCAAATCAACACCACATGGCGATGCCGCATTTCAAATGTGCACAGTGAGCTGGGTTACTGTGTCTGGAGGTCGAGACTGCAGCTGTTTAGATCTTTAGATCTGTGATCAGACTGCACTTGATTTTGTTTGGACATTAAAGAGAAGGGAAGTGTGTGAGTGTGGCTGGAGGAATAGGCATGATTGGATTTCCTTCATTCATTTAGTTCCGCTTTGGGAACTGCGAGCATTTGACCTTTTGAGAGAGTTTGTGGTTGTTTTAATTCATCTGGTGCGGCAACATTTGCGGACACACACAGATAGGAGACACACGGTATGTTGTCAGCTGAGGATGGCTACAGGGGCCACAGCAGGAAGGAAGAAATCTCCACAACTACAAGCCATACTGCCATGAAAATTTTCCCTTGAGCAAGTCTTTAGTCAATGACAATGTATCTGAAAAAACTAAAAGCCCAACTTCCATGGTCCCAGGCACTGAAACATTAGTTCAATGTGCTGATTATGTGCCTAGTATAACATCTTGCCAATGGACTACAGTTGAAAATTAGCCTGCTGGCTAACACTGGCACATTTACAGAAATGTTGATTAATGTGCACTGTCCTTAAATAAATAAATGAGAAATGAGAAATTTAATACATGTTTCTTACAAGATACTGGGCATACCTATATAAGAAATGCAAGCTGTGAAATTATTTTTCTTACCAACTAAAAACAAAGATGTTTACAGCAGAGTTCATTGGTTTCCTTTCTTTAGAGATTGTTAAGTCTACCCATCATCAGTGAAATCAGCTGCTGTAGTGTTTGGCTGGATGTGTTTAACTGTTGTTTACAGTACTACGTTTTGGACTCTTAAGTGTGCTGACTGCCGGTTTGCTTCACTGAGACATAAAATAATCACTTTTGTGAAATAGCTTAAAAAGAAAACCTGCAGGGTGCAAAAACAGTTGTAACCTGTGTCAATACTACCCTCTAGTGGTCAGTCAGCAGAACCAATCATATCAACTCCATCCTGTCAACAGCACCAGTTTCAACTCTTAGGGGGCTTTCACACCTGAAAGTATGCACCAAAGTTCATGTTTTGACACATTTTGATACATTCGGTTAGTTTTGGTTTGGTTTCACAATGCAGTTACCTATGCAGCGCATTAAAGGACTTTACATGACAAGACTTGCGTCATCATCCATGTGGGCTGCGTCTCCCTATACCTACTTGACATGGATTGGTTGAACTGTTCCAGCTTTGACCAGAATGAATGAATTAGGAATGTACATATGTCGTTGCCACTATATTGTTATTGTTATGGCATTAGCCTACTACCTGCAGCACCATCTTAACTCGCAACACATTCTCATCTCAGTGCGTCAATTACTGACGCTTTGAGACAGGCTAGTTCAAATTCGCCAAATAATCGTCCTCATTGTGCGAACATTAGACCTAGGCTATATCTCTGCAGTGTTTCGGGATAACACCGGCAGGAAAGGGGGAGAAGACTGCAAGAAATCCTTCTGAACCTCCGTTTGAGGAGAGACCATAATTGTATCCTTTTTTCAATGCATTTATCCTTGCATTCGTTTGTTTCTGGTTTAGCCTACACAGGAACCACCGAACTCCCTGTAAATAGCCTGAAAGTCCGACTCTTTATGGGATCAGTTTACTGACAGCTGAGCTCACTGTCATATCACGAATTATAACTGCTGGCTGTTGCTTGTTTTGTGTCTCACACAGTTTCGAATGAGACATGGAAAACCAGATCAGTTTCTTAAGTGTCATCATATGCCTCATAACACGGGTGTAGGTTTGGGTTTTGTTATATGGGGGACAAAAAATTTAAGTTAATAATAAATATATGTATAACATTAATTTCCTTTATACATTCCTGAAGCTTTCTGATAAATAATGTTGTATTTGCATCTTTACTACAAAGAGCTTTGTACTTTACTGCCTTATCTTCATTTTAAGAGATTATTAACAGTAAAAAAATTTAAGATAGCAGTACAGTTAAAAAGGGATAACAGTGCACAAATGTGTGAAGAATGAAAAAAGAGAAAAGTACAATCTGACATGTTTTAAGCATACAGAGGCCTTTAAAGGGATAGTAAGTGACTGTAATCCAATACACTTTTTGTTAAATTCAGTGAATATAATAAAAAATAGAATAGAGTAAAAAATTACACGTGGAGTCGACGCGGACCGTAAGCTCTGTGATTGGTCGGCTGGGTAGCCTCGCAATGCCTCCGAGCCGACCGGAAGTATCCCACGCTTTGAAGTAACATTTACTAGTGGCCAAAACAGCGGCTGTAACACAGTGAATATATATATTTGACCGTCGCAACCCAAGTGAAATGACTCGTTTCGCTATCAGAATGTGGTCCATTCAGTCGGTAACATTTGAAAAGGCTACACCAGCCGCACGTTTACAATTTTACCCCCATTTACGTTAGCGGAGCGCTAAACCGGAAGTTAGCCTGCTCGGCCAGCAAAAGTCAACACAGTGGATGCTGTAGCGCTACTGCCGACTAGCGTTTGGGGGTGTAATTGCAAAATGACGGACACACCTACGCACAAGTATAAATGCATGGTTACGTGCGTAGCCTACGCCGTAAGGTTCGCACGTAGACCCTACGCAGGAGTATAAATGCTCCTT